TACTTTAAGGATGTAAGTCCAAAAACATTATTTTGGTCTAAAAGACTAGTTTCCAAGGAGTAATTTTCCTAAAACCTCGTTGATTTTAGCCATAAAATTCTGCCCCTTACTTTTTATCCACATACTTTATTGTGAGAAATTTCTATTTCTACATGAGGTTTCATTCTCTGTTTTGCATTTCAGCATGGTCATCAGTTTCAGACACTGAGTTATATAACCCATCCAATGTTCAGTAAGCTGGGCTTTTTGAGTGGGTAAGTGTGAAGGAGCAAGCAGAATTCCTAGAATTATCTCTCTACCACTGGGGCTTTCCCAGAGTCTACCTACTTCTTAGTTTTGGCATCAAGTTATTTCTACATATATTTAAGTGAGTTTTGAAAAGACAATATTAACTTTCAAATACATGTGACCAAAAAAAAGATCCTAGAAATGTATCAACATCACTAGCTACAAAGAAAGATGCCTGAGAATGTCCATAATTTGTAAAGAAACCAAGGAAAGGATAAAACCCCACAAATCACCTCACCAATATTCCACTTTCACCATTTAACGACAAAAACGTCCCATCACTGAAAAGTGGTTAGACACCATCAAAATGGATCTCCTCTATTTGTCTACTTTTATATAATCTTTTGATATTTCTGTATAAAGTAATCAATGCTGGTAATATGTAAAATTTAATAAAATCAGCTTCCTACTACGTAGTTTAATAAACCATTTCTAGCCTAGTGTAATTATCTAGAAGACAGCAAAAGAAAATAACATTATTTCTCTAGTCACAAAGCAATAATAGATTAATTTAGTCTTTTGACTCTCCAGCCCAGGACTTGGTTTCCAGAATGATTCTGCCAGCTTTCTTAAGTCAAAGAAAATATCTACTTGGCAAATGTCTAATATATAACCAAACTACTATATTTAAATGTAAACAGTTTCATAGATTTGTGTGTGTGTGTGTGTGTGTGTGTGTGTGTGTGTGTGAGTGAGATGAAGTCTCGCTCTGTTGCCCAGGCTGGAGTGCAGTGTAACGGTGCAATCTTGGCTCACTGCAACCTCCGTCTCCCAGGTTCAAGCGATTCTCCTGCCTCAGTCTCCCAAGTAGTTGGGATTACAGGCGCCCAGCACTACACCTGGCTAATTTTTGTATTTTTATTAGAGACAGGGTTTCACCATGTTGGCCAGGCTGGTCTCGAACTCCTTACCTAGTGATCTGCCCACCTCAGCCTCCCAAAGTGCTGGGATTACAGGCGTGAGCCACCGTGCCCAGCCATAGATTGTGAATTAAAGTGATTCGTGTGATTATGAAACAGTGAAAGGAAGCACACAAAAAAACTGTAAAACTCATTAGGCCAAGACAATAGTTAAGAGAGTAACTTTACATTGGGGTGCGAGCTAACAGGATGTGATACTTATGACTGTCTGTGAAATAATACACACTTGATAAAATAATTCACATGTGATATTAAGATAGAACATTTAGAAGTTCAATTTTAGAGGACAACAATTATCTCACCTAAAACCAGTAAATGTGGTAGTCCAAGGAGGAAACGGAAATTTTTTTAAAATTTGTATTTTAAAAGAAATAGTTCTATAAAATTTGCTCTAGTAAAATTGCATCAACTTGATATCTTTAATCACAAACTAACTCAGGTCTGAATTCTTTCTCACAGACAAAAAGAATAATATATCTTTATTATACAATTTTGAGGACCAGGAGCTGGCCATTTAGTTTTTTTAAAGTTCAATCATATTCAAGGTATGAAAATTTACCAGGTTGATTTAATAAAGTGAAATTAGGCCACCCAGTGGCTAATATGATGTACTGCAGACATGAATATTTTATTTCCAAATCTGGATTGTACAAACCAGCATTATCACAGTAAGACAAATAGAGTTCTACCTAGCAATTCCATAAACAAAAACAATATGAGAAAATTTATATTTCATTAGTATGGATATGCTTTAAATGAGAAAAGATTATAAAATGTCTTCAAATATATATATTAAAGCTAGAAACTACCTTACAAACCATAAAATCCAAACTCCGTATATTAAGCAGATGAAAAACTGAGGCAGAGTTTACCTGCTTCCCCAAAACAACATTGCCAGTTAATGACAAAACCGATTAAAAGATCAGTTCTCATATTTCAGTATAATTTCATTCCCACCCAGTTTGTTGGAAACAACACAGTAAAATTGCTTCCTACACACACACATATACATATTACTGAAAAAACATCTATTTCAAGAGCTGGCTTTTATCTTTTCAGGTTAGTGTAGTCATAGGTCATCTCAAGTGTAAATAATCTATTACTAGTAAATACCTTTCTAAATATTTTATAAAAGTTTATTTTAAAGGGCAAAACTTTTAAATCTAAAATTAATTATGTATATATAAATATGCTTAAAAGTCAAATATGTTAATAACAGACATATTAATTTTAGTATTGCCTGTAAATTGTCATTACAACTCCCAGTGGGATGTAAAATTATTTAAAGTCACAATACAAATTAGTCTTTTCCTGTATGTAAATCTAGAGGAGAGATACTACAGCTATCTTAAAGATCAAAACAACCAACATCCTGCAATTGTTCACACTTGAGGTAACGCTTAGTCTTCTACTCTTTGTTTGTTTGTTTTTCCAGATCACATAGCAAACATATATTACAGGATTTACACCTATACTCTTAGGCAAAACTTGTATACAGCGAACTATAGTTTTCACTTGAATGCTTACATGGTTGTGTACTGGAGATCTCAAATTACAACCTGAAGTAACTGAATTATTTATTTTCCCTTTCAACTACGAATTGAGTTCAAATATATTAAGATACTTAGCTAAAAGGCAAGAGATATTTTTCCCAATGACTATTTTTCCTTCAAAACAATTCACACTCTAACTTGTTTTTTGTTGAAGCACAAAGCAGAGCATCTACTATCTTCTAAGATACGTAAATCATATTTACATATGCAAGAAATGTGGACTATGCAACACATTCAGGTATGAAGACTTAAGAGATATATCATTCAGAGATGATAATTTCTCCCCACATCCTCTATCTGTATCCTCCCAGGCAGAATGTAGCTTCACCCCACCACACTTAATTACTCCAGATTTATGACTCTTTAAATCATTCTATCGTGTTTAAATTAACTTATACAACTGGCAAGGGATAAATGTCAAAAATACAATTAATATTTAAATTTCAAGGTCACAGTATTGTCAATAAAACAACTTATACAGGGAAACTAACATTAAGTCATTTTTCCTTTCTTTGTCTATTATTATGAAACATGCACTTCATACCTAGGAAATGGACAGAAAACCCACTGGGAAGGAGAAAGTTCTGACATTTAAATATTCATGTCTACCCATAACTTTAATTTAACTAAATGCTGATGGCAGAATTAGCCAAGAAACTGTTTCAAATAAGATTAATATGAATACTGATAAGTAGATAATATCACACATTGATAAATTTGTTAAGTTGACATATTCATTTGTCATCTTAATAATCTTTAAATTTTTTTATATTTAAAAATTCAAAAAGCCTAAATCAGTACTTCAGTAATCATAATTACAAGATCTTTAAATATCTATCTTTTCTGAAGATTGATGTTAACTGGGTCCTTGAAGTTCTAGAGGGATGGTTCTTTCCTGGGTGATTTTGTCCCCCAAAAGATATTTGGCAATGTCTGGAGACATTTTTACTGTAATGACTGAGTTAAGTGGAGTGTTACTATCTCTACTGGGTAGAAGCCAGGGATGCTATAAACATCTCCCCATTACACAGAATTATCTGGTCCAAGATGTCAATAGTGCAAAGGTTGAAAACTGTTCTAGGGGGATCTGTGTATACATTTATTTCATCTCAAGGGTTTGTCCTATAACTTATTACAAAACTAATAAGCTTACAGGGACTTCTGCAGAAACATCTTGCACACAGCAGATGCTTAACAGACAAATAAAGCAAAAAACTATTATGTATAGTTACTGCCGACTTTTAGCAGAAATCTGCAATGAATGACCTCCATTACTAAATTTCAACTTAGGAAATAGTTAAGACTTTAGGGCTGTGGATCTAGATAAATAAAATATCTAGAAAGTCTGCCAAACATCTTTTCAGGTTTATTTGATAATGCTGAAAATCAGAAGACACCCTGTATTTTTTTTATCTAAGCAATTACTCCACATAATTTACGAGTAGCTGCTGTAATGCATATAAACAAAAATTAGACGCATAAATTCATCCTAGCACATTTTCCAGGCCCCCCCCTCAAAAAAAAATATGCCTTACCTCTGTGCAACACTTAGATACGGTCAGAGCCAGACACAGACACTCAAAATATTAAGTGAATCAAACACATTGTTTTATTTTAACATCAAGCTACTAGTAGTAACAATGTGCCATGGTCCCAGTAGAAGATATTAAAATATACATATATATATAAAGCTGAGAATATGGGTATGGGAATTACAGAAAACATCAAAAAGGTCCTCTCAGCTATTCCACAGAGGATTTTCCACAACGTTTCAAGGTAGTCAAGTTGGCAGAAGGGTAGCTGCCCAGGTTCACAGCGGAGTTCCTATTTTGACTGTGCGGTCATTCAGAAAAGAGTAGCCGGAACACCATTTTCAAGTCTTCCCGGCAGGACACAGCCACTTTTCTCTGCGTAGCGAACTCCCTAAAAGCGCTCGACTTACCTGGCAAGAAACCTGCCTCCAAGAAGTGGCAGCGTGAGGACAGGCGTCTGGACGCGCATTGTAGGGAGAACCACGGAGCAACCTGGGCATCTCTTACGCCCCTGGTCTCAAATACCCTGGTCCCCAACTCTCTACACATCGCGGCTGCATTCCGGCCATCGAGGTCAAGCGGCCGCGGGAAGAAAAACCTCTGCCCTCGCCGGGGAGGGCCTTATGGCGGGAGGGGGCAGCGGGAAAGGAAAGAGAATCTGAGCCGAGAAGGCGCCGACAGGCCTGGGCGAAAGGGGTGCCACCCACCTGCGCGACCTCTTCGCCATCCTTCAAGTACCGCATAGGAGCGGGCTGGACGGGGACGCGGATCAGCCTCCTCTAGCCTCCGGCGAATGCGCCTTCTCCCTGACCCTCTAGCCGCTTCCCTCGCTCCCTCCGAAGGCAGCCGAGTGCGGAACGCAAGTCCTCGGCAGGGCGCGACGGAGGGACAGCGGGGGCGGACCGCGACCCGCCCCCAGCCCCGGTCCGCAGCGCTGCTCCTAGCCCCGGCCCGGCCCGGCCAGGGATGCCCCCAACATGTCAGGAGGCGCGCTCCCACCCTCCGCCGGCCTCTCCCACCGCTGCTCAGCCTCCCCGCCCCGGTCCCAGCGCGACTGTGCCACAGGCGCCTACCCCCGCCCGCTCCCCGCAGCTAGCAGTTCTGCAGGGATCGTAGTCTCCTGCAGGGTTTTGTCCGCACCGCCGAATCTCGCGCCCAGCCTCCCTCAAGAGCCGCCGTTTGAATCTGCGCACGCGGCCCTGAACCTCATTGGCTATGGGGGCCGCACGCGAAGGAGCGAGGGCGGGGCAGGGAGAGCGCGCGCGACTGAGGGCGGGGCTGGGGAGCTGGAAGCCGGGACTGGAACTCGCCGGAGTCAGGGAAGGAGCCGGGAGCCAGTGGGTGGGGCTGCGGGTGGGGCACGGGCGGGGCGGGGGGTGGTGGTGCCGAGCTGTCATACGACCCGGAACGCGCCGAGAGGCGCACCGCGCAGGGCCTCCTGGGAGAGCGAGTTCCTGCGCTCGCCAGAGGCGGGTCCGGAAGCGGCGCCGGAACCGTCCAGCCGCCCCAAATTTCTGGGGTGAGCGGACAGAGTTTCTGGCAGAGTGAGTGATCCCGCAGCCTCGCCTCGGCTACATTCGTCACTCCTTAGGTGTCTCCCACCTCACTAGTTAGGAGGAGCGGTCTTCGGACCTGAGACAAATGTAACCACAAATTTGCGCGGCCGTTATTTTTTAAGCAAACGTGAGCTATTTTTACCCAGACATCATAGCTACGAGAGTTACGAAGACTCTGGCAGGAAACCAAGTATCATCTATTTTCCTCAAAAAGCAGCAGAAGCGTGACAAGTGAAAAAAGTTCCTAGCGGGAGACGTGCTTGAAACGGGGACGGGAGATAATCCTTGTCTGCCGTTGGTCCTCAAGGTGCTCAATTTCGTGCCCCACTCTACGGGAAATAACGTGCGCGGCGGAGGAGCCCGGTCCTGGAGAATAACGCGTGAAGACGGCAGTGGACTGGGCATTTTGCCCAGACGAATGAGCATGGTAGTTGTGTATAAGGTGACCTTCCTTCCTCTGGAGAGACCGGGGAGGGGGGAAACCACCGGAGGAGTTTCTAGCGATTGCAGCTGCTCGAGGTTCCGAGTCTAATAACTACAAACTGTTCATGTCAAGTAGCATTAAAGTAGATTTGCTACAGTAACAATCAGACTCGGATAAGGATCTAAATTTGCAAGGCAACATGGTCTACTGCATAGAGCACTGAGCCACATGTTAAACACTGTAACAAACTGACACTTGCTATTTTGAAATTTTACTCATCATCTTTTGCAAATCAAATGCAGGTGCAGAGTGAATTAAGAGGAGCTGAATTGAGAGAAGCTTGCATACACTACTGTCAAAACTTAAACCCACTGGCTTTTTTTTACAGTTCCTTTTTTTCATGGTATAGATTCTGGGAAGGTAACGGAAGGAAGGTAAAANCCCAGGAGGCGGAGGTTGCGGTGAGCCGAGATCGCGCCATTGCACTCCAGCCTGGGTAACATGAGTGAAACTCCGTCTCAAAAAACAAAACAAAAAACAAATAGTAGGTTTTTGTTTGTTTGTTTAGACAGAGTCTCCCTCTGTCACCCAGGCTGGAGTGCAGTGGCATGATCACTGCTCACTGCAACTCCACCTCCCACATTTAAGCAATTCTTGTGCCTCAGCCTCCCAAGTAGCTGGGATTACAGGTATGTTTCACCATGCCCTGCTAATTTTGGGGGTTTTTCTTGTTTGTTTGTTTGTTTTGAGACAGAGTCTCACTCTTGCCCAGGCTGGAGTGCAGTGGCATGATCTCAGCTCACTGCAACCTCCACCTCACGGGTTCAAGCATTTCTCCTGCCTTAGCCTCTCAGTAGCTGGGATTACAGGCATGCACCACCATGCCTGGCTAATTTTTTGTATTTTTAGTAGAGATGGGGGTCTCACCATGTTGACCAGCCTGGTCTGGAACTCCTAACCCCAGGTGATCCATCCACCTCGGCATTCCAAAGTGCTAGGATTACAGGCATAAGCCACCATACCTGGCCTAATTTTTGTATCCTTAGTAGAGATGGAGTTTTGCCATGTTGGCCAGGCTGGTCTCAAACTCCTAACCTCAGATGATCTGCCCACCTCAGCCTCCCAAAGTGCTAGGATTACAGGCATGAGCCACTTAGCCTAGCCTATCCTATTATTATTTTGTTGTTGTTTGAGACAGAGTTTTGCTCTTGTTGCCCAGGCTGTAGTGCATTGGAGCGATCTAAGCTCACTGCAACCTCTGCCTCCCAGGTTCGAGCAATTCTCTTGGAGCCTGGCATAGTTTTCAAGTTTTTAGAGATGGGGTCTAGCTGTGTTGCCCAGGCTGGAGTGCAGTGGCACAATCATAGCTTACAGTAGACTCGAACTCTTGGGCTGAAGCAACCCTCTTGGCTCAGCCTCCAAAGTAGCTGGGACTATACCTGGCCAAGCGTTTCTTCCAGATCATTCCTTAATGGGTTACTGGTTCAGTTTAAAAAAAAAAAAAAAAAAAAACTAATTTAGAAACTAATTTAGACATTTGAGTTCCCAAATTTCATTTTGTTCCCAATGTCATTTGGAATCACTGTTTCACTGTTTTCTTGTTTACCCCTGGGTCATACATTACTGCACTTATTTATAACTAATAGGCAAAAGAGCTTCTGCCATATTTTAGTCTGTATTCAGTTTTATACAGAATAACTTTTTTAGAGCTTGAAGACAGATGTTTTAGATTTTGACAGTAAAACAAATTTCCCTCATTTTTACATATGGGAAAAAACGATTTCCAGAAAGATAACATTGTGAAATTACGTAAATCACTTATAAAACTCAGGGCAAAGTGTGGAATTAAAGTGCTTCATAGTCATTTGAATACACATGTTCAGATACATGATGAACTAAGGAGGGGCTTTTTTTAAGCACATTTAAAGATTTTATTCAGAGTATATAAAGAACTCAAAACTCAGTGAGGAAAAAAAGTTTTTTTAATGGGCAAAAGATTTAAACATTTCACCAAACAAGATATATACATGACAGGCACAGGAAATGATGTTCCACCTCACTAGTCACTGGAGAAATGCAAATTAAACCACAATGAGATACTACTACACATCTGTTAGAATGAGGGTGGAAAATGATTGACTGTACAAATGTTGGTGAAGATGAAAATGCTGAGCAAGTGTAATTTGCATACATTGCTAGTAGTGATGTAGAAAGCCATTTTGGAAAACGTTTATAGTGGCTTTGTTTTGTTTGTTTTTTAATTTTTGTGGGTACATAGTAGGTGTATATAGTTATGGGGTACATGAGATATTTTGATACAGGCATGCAATGTGAAATAATCACATCATGGTGATGGAGTATCCATCCCCTCCAGTATTTATCTTTTGTGTTACAAACCCATTACACTCTCAGTTATTTTAAAGTGTACAATTAAACTATTGACTATAGTCACCTGTGCTATCAAATAGTAGGTCTTGGGCCGGGCGCGGTGGCTCAAGCCTATAATCCCAGCACTTTGGGAGGCCGAGGCGGGTGGATCACGAGGTCAAGAGATGGAGACCATCCTGGTCAACATGGTGAAACCTCGTCTCTACCAAAAAAAATACAAAAAATTAGCTGGGCATGGTGGCGCGTGCCTGTAATCCCAGCTACTCAGGAGGCTGAGGCAGGAGAATTACCTGAACCCAGGAGGCGGAGGTTGCGGTGAGCCGAGATCGCGCCATTGCACTCCAGCCTGGGTAACATGAGTGAAACTCCGTCTCAAAAAACAAAACAAAAAACAAATAGTAGGTTTTTGTTTGTTTGTTTAGACAGAGTCTCCCTCTGTCACCCAGGCTGGAGTGCAGTGGCATGATCACTGCTCACTGCAACTCCACCTCCCACATTTAAGCAATTCTTGTGCCTCAGCCTCCCAAGTAGCTGGGATTACAGGTATGTTTCACCATGCCCTGCTAATTTTGGGGGTTTTTCTTGTTTGTTTGTTTGTTTTGAGACAGAGTCTCACTCTTGCCCAGGCTGGAGTGCAGTGGCATGATCTCAGCTCACTGCAACCTCCACCTCACGGGTTCAAGCATTTCTCCTGCCTTAGCCTCTCAGTAGCTGGGATTACAGGCATGCACCACCATGCCTGGCTAATTTTTTGTATTTTTAGTAGAGATGGGGGTCTCACCATGTTGACCAGCCTGGTCTGGAACTCCTAACCCCAGGTGATCCATCCACCTCGGCATTCCAAAGTGCTAGGATTACAGGCATAAGCCACCATACCTGGCCTAATTTTTGTATCCTTAGTAGAGATGGAGTTTTGCCATGTTGGCCAGGCTGGTCTCAAACTCCTAACCTCAGATGATCTGCCCACCTCAGCCTCCCAAAGTGCTAGGATTACAGGCATGAGCCACTTAGCCTAGCCTATCCTATTATTATTTTGTTGTTGTTTGAGACAGAGTTTTGCTCTTGTTGCCCAGGCTGTAGTGCATTGGAGCGATCTAAGCTCACTGCAACCTCTGCCTCCCAGGTTCGAGCAATTCTCTTGAAGCCTGGCATAGTTTTCAAGTTTTTAGAGATGGGGTCTAGCTGTGTTGCCCAGGCTGGAGTGCAGTGGTGTGATTATAGCTCACTGTAACCTTGAACTCCTGAGCTCTAGCAATCCTCCTACCTCACTCTCCTAAAGTGCTGAGATTATAGGCATGAGCCATCTGTGCCCAACCAGGGCCATTCTTTAGAGATGCTGGTGTGGTTACTAAGAGAAACAATCTTCCTTGGTCTTCTTGCACTCCTATATACATCTTGGTGGGTGTGCCAAGACGCAAGGCCCTGAGTACTCTTTTACACAGGCCATTTCTAAGGGTTGCTTGCAGCTAGTTGCCTTGAGAGATGAGGTAGCATCTCAATCCAAGACAAAAACCAGGTTTACTTACTGCTTACTATGAAAGCAGTGGATTCCCAAGTTCAGTGTTTCTCAACTGTAGCACAAGTCCACTGTATGCATGACATCCATCTGGGCCCATTACATTGCCCCATGGGACCTGAAAACAAGAGTAACTGGCACAAATGCATTGACGCTCAAGGTGTTTGCTGTGTTGTAAGTAATACCAATACTTTGTCCTTGACCTAAGAGTCTGGTGTCTTCTGGGAAAAGGATCCATGAGCCACTAACAGTTTAACTTAGCTTGTTAAGTAGGGTAAAATCAAATCCCAGCCCTGACAGCTAGAGTAGCATG